CGTCTGTATTGGATTCCGTCAACCCCGTCCAACACTTTTTCTCACATGATTGCCTTTAATTCATCGTTCACCCGGTCTTCTTCTTGAATAAATCTATTCTTAGCTCAGCCAAATTATTTGGAGTTCCATCATCCAATTTTTCATCATCTTGATCCACATTATCATGTTCCACATGATCCGGATCCACATTTCCAGGTTCCACAACATCTAGATCCACATTATCATGGTCCACATCACCTACCTCAATTCCACGGGTAGCCACATCTTGATTATAAAGCTCTTCAAACCATATTGACTTCTCTTGGTCAATTAAGCGCTTGGTCCAACCATCAGCTATTGGATCATCCACATCATTCCATCCATTATCTACTTCCATGATACGGTCTAGAAGACGTGTCTCACGAGAAGATGGAGGCAAGATACTATGAATCTCCTGTAAAAAATGAAACAAATTATACAAGTTATGAATTCTAAAGCAAGTTATACTAATTTGTACAATTTCAAAACAAGTTATACTAAATAATCTTAGTTGTACCAAGACAGTCATAAATTTCTGTGAAAGAAAAGCCTTTCATTTTGCTGGGTTTATATTTCATCCTGCACATCCGAGGACACTTACGGTGTGCATGTGCATTACTAACATCTTCTCGGAAAGTGTTCTTCAGAACAGAAATTGTCTCAAACGCAAGAAACTGCATAAAACACAAGATAATCAAACCTTAGATGAAGCAAGTTATACTAATATGTACAATTTCAAAACATAATAACCTCCAAAAGAATTATAAACTAGGAAAGACCCATGGTGCGCCCACAACTCCACCAAAGTGGCCCATCAAATGAAAGATGTCTTTCATGTTCTCATCAAACGCTAAGCGACCCCAAGGGAATGTCTTACATACGTCAAGATCATCCACGACTCTAAGAAAGAAAGATTCTACAGAGGGCGCTTGCTTCCCTCCTTTTTTCTTCCCTATGATTATGCTACATAGGAAGAATAGCACAACCATCTTCAAACGGTCTGTCCCAGGATCCTTCATTGATAGTAGCTTCGCTTTGACTTTTGCATATGTTATTGTTGCCCCAACCCCAAAGTGTTTCCCAGCAAACGCTAAACTCTCCAATCCTTCCATGAAAGGTGGATATGTACGACAGTTTAATCCAGACATGAGTGCCATTTCTCTGAGAGAATATCGGATTGGGACCCCATTCACAATGAACCACCATTCTCTTTTTTTCTATAAACACGATATGCGAAGCAAGAGCATCCACATACCCATCAACTTATGATTTGAGTTTTTAGGCATATGGAAGAAATGCTTGAACTGTGGGTGCAAGAGGAACCAATCCAACTCCTCCGCTTCGAGATGAGTCCCTAATAGGCTCAATGTCTCTGCAATATAACACTTCACAGAAATCTTAAATGGTTTTGTCTACTCCTCGGGACAGAAGTACATATTCATAGGTTGCATAACTTCGATTTCCTCCTCGGGTTCCTGTAAAATAGATCAACATACACTAAGTTATACTAAGTTATACTTTTTGATTCAGAAATTATAGATCAAGATACACTAAGTCATACTAAGTTGTACTTTCTGTTTTAGGAAATTTAGATCAAGATACACTAATTTATACTAAGTTGTACTTTATAATTTACGATTTTGAGAACAAGATACACTAATTCATACTTAGTTGTACTTTCTGATTTAGGAAATTTAGATCAATAACTTAGACATACCGTTGAATCCTGAGGATTAGACTTAGTGTTTTGGGATTCACCTCCATGAGTTTCTTCTTCTTCTACGATCTCATATGCTGGATTTGGTTGTTCACGATAGCTTGGGTTCTTTGTACGCACCATTTCGATTCATGTTCTTGCTCAAACCTAACATCAAAAACGATTAACAACTCCAATCGGATTCTAACCTACTCAAATAATAAACAAACTCCAATCGACAACACCAAATCACGGAAGAACTGAATAGCAATTTCGACTTACACGGGAGACACAAGCTCGAGTTATCCACAATTGTACTCTCGAAGAAGAAGATAATGAAATGTGGGAAAAAGGAGTCGATTTGATTTCTGTGTATTAAGGGAAAAAGAGACGAGAGAGATCCAAAATTATGTGGATTTCTGAGTTTGGGTGATAAGGGTGGTTGGATCTGTAGTTTTCAAGTTTTTAAGGGGTATGTATATCTTTAGCCGCATTTTCTATTTAAAAAAAAAATAAAAAAATTTGGCAATTTCGACCCCAATGATTTCCAGTTGATCCGGCGGAGGGGGAATCACGAGCTTCACTTCCAGACACACACACAAGATCTGCATCAGTACCAAATTGACAAATTTAACATAAATTTGAAACCGAATATGCCTTCACGAATACATTGTGAATGTAACCGAGTAAAAGAATTGGGGAAGAAGGTTTTACGAGTACGTTCTCTCAGTCATTAAACAGTTTCATGAATACATTGTGAATGTAGCAGACATTGATGTCGCTATGATTCTGAGTTGGAAGTGTAGCCAAACTTTCTTGAGAGTTGTCCAAATCACAAATCCCTTTGTCTTGGAGACTAATTTGACCTTATTTGATTACCCACATCATCATCATGATGAAGATAATTGAATTCATCTACTGCTTGAATAGATCATCTTCATCATTACAGGTTTGGACAATGCAGTAACTAAAGTAGACAAAACAAGAAACCATATTTTCATGACAAATAGTTTATTTCAAAACAATATTAAAGATCTGAGACAACAGAGGAGACAGACAAGTTACTACTACTAATCGAGGAGAGAACCAACCAAAATCTTAATACTGTTATTAATTAACACTTCCAACAAGTTACTACTATACCAAAAAACCTCCAGAGTCACCTGAAATTAGATAAATGAAACCCTCAAGAGACCATATCAGAGAACTACCATGTCTCAAGGGCAAAGCAGAGGACTCCACGGCACCTGAAAGTCCAAAGACTGATTTTGTCGCCGGCTTTTAAGCCGTTACCCTTGACAACTTCGTTCCAACCCCAATTCAAAGCGTAATTCAAGGTTCCGTGTCCATAGTCCTTCTCCATCACCCATATCTTAAAACGTAAACCCCACTTTTCAGACCTTTGATTCACAAGAATCGTTCCCACACCAATATTCGCGTCTTCTTCGTCTTCGTCTTCGTCTTCGTCTTTCTGTATGGCTCGACACTCTGCAGGCGTCAAGAAGTCGTTTCTGATTAGCTGCTGGAATGGGAGTAAGAGACGGCTCTGGCCCACTTTGACATCACTATTTGTCAGAGCCCTCACAAAGATCAAGCTCGGGTTTTCGGCATCAGCTTTCATATATCTCATCACCTCGAAAACCCACTCAGGCGTCTCTGTAGACCACCTTAGCAAAGGAGCAACCTTTGCTTTCTTGAATTTACCACTCTTCCTCTGTTGCACGACACGCCTCTTGCGGCTTTTGTTCTCCGTTAGGCATGAAGATGGAGAAGAAGAATGGTAATTAGGGTTTGGTAGGTCTCTCGTCTCTGTCTTCTCGGACTTAGGCTCATAACAACGAAGATTCAAGAACGATGAAGAAGCTGAAGCCCCATTGAGATTATGAAAGTTTTGTTGTTGGTGTCTTACAAATTTCTTCAGATTCTTCTCGAAGAGTCTCTTCTCACTCTCTTCGTCCTCTTCCTCTTCTTCTTCACATATAATCTTTGATTTACCTTTCTTTGCACGTTTTTCTTCATCATACACCAAAAGCTTATCAAAACTAGGGTTTTGTGCGTTTTTCGTCTCGTAATCAGTGAGGGTTAGGTTAAGATCGAGAAGCGATGAAGAAGAAGACGTAGAAACCCCATTAGGGTTTTGTTGTGTGTAACTTATCTTTACCAAAGAAGACCTTTTCTTCCTCGGGAAAAGATAGAAGAATCTCTTCTGGCTATCTTCTTCTTCAGAGACAGTCTTATGGCACTTGGATTCTGCAAGAAGACGATGACGTTGTTCTTCTTCCTCAACCATAACTGCCGTATCCACCAGCAAACACAGATCCGACCACATATCCTTCCCTGAATCCGTGAGATGATCATCATGATACATACTCATTGTGATCGAACCAAAACTCAAAGTTCTGAGAATGAAACGTGAGGAGCAAGGAAATTAGAAAGACAGAGAAAAGCTGAGCGCAAATGAGAAAAATATTGCCTTCTCTTGCTTTAAATACTTACCATTAGGGTTTAGGGCTTTTTGTTTTTTCCAATTTTCTTTTGAGTTTAGTGGTTTAATTATTGTGATTAGTAACTAACAATAGCCGTTGTGATCAAGTTTAACATTTCGTTAATTACGATTAAGTCCATGTTTTGGTATTTCCTTTTTCCGAAAGTGAGAACTGGAAAGTTTCGTTTCCTTTTTTCCATGTATTCAATTTTATTATTTGAATTTATTTTTGTTACAAAAAAAGCTTGAGATTTCAACATAATTGCATAAAAATAGTTCATGAAAAAACCAACAAAAACTTATACTAATCAAAATGTGAGAAGAATTCAATATAGTTTTTTCTCATTTTCCTATACCATTAACCAAAGAACTCTCTCGTCGTTTACCAATACATAAACACACACATACAAGTCTCCTTATATAGTTTGATGTCTTGATGATACACTAGATGAGAGAATACACAACATCATCGTACGTTGGGAAGTCCAATGGTCCGTCCCCAATGAGTACCAGAGAAGTCACAATAACCGCGACAAAGATTGTGAAAAGCAGAAACGATTTACACGGGTCAGCGCTGTTTTGTTTCTCTGGTCCTACCGTTACAGTCCCTTCTTGTCTTTCACTTCCTCTTTCAAGTTGGAGCACCGGACAAGTGAAGAATCCGTATACAATTCCGGCTATAAGTGCTCCCAGATTTGTCCTGTGATGAACCATTTGTTAGAAGAAAAACACAGTATCATTGATAAGATGTTCTTGCTTAAGTATAGTCTATGTTGTAGATCTTTGGTCGACTGAATAAAGTAAAAGTTATGAAACCTATCGATTCAGTTTATGATCCATTATCAAACCTAAGAAGTAGTATGTGAAGATGTGTCATGATTCTTTATAATGAACTGAACCTAACAAGAGGCTGCTTACATTAGAATGCTGAACAAGAACCAACTAGCTGAAGAAATCTTGATGGATATTGGAAACTTACCAGTCATCAATTGGACCGAAATGGCTTAATATGAGACCAAATCCTGTCATTATAATGGCCTTCTGAAACAAGTCCTCATATTCGTTGCTTTTGATCATCTCCTTGTTCTGATTTTGGTCGACGAGCCAAGCTCCTATTAATGCAAATGCTGGTCCCTGTACCGACCCATATACACGAAGAAAATTGAGAACGAATGGATGGTGCAATTTGGTAATACCACATGGGAAAAATTAATGAACTTACAGTTCCTCCAACTGTCGGATCTGCTGTATGAAGAAAGCTCATGAAATTACCAGAGACTCCTCCGAGAATGTAAATGAGACAAAACGTGAATAGTCCATAGTCACGGCAGACTTTTGGTCCAAAAGTAAGCAGAGCCCAGGAACTAAGGGCTACATGAGGAATTCCAGAGTGCTACAGATGTAAAATGAAAGTGTTTCAGTGACCAAAAGGGAATATTACATGAAACCAAGTCATCAAGAATGCTAAATTTGACATGCAAAAAGATGCAACGGAATGAGGAACTAAAGCGATATGTACTTATATTTTTGACAATGCTGTTGTCAGGTATTTAAAATCTCCAGCTGTTTGGTCAACTTTGTTTTTGAAACAGTAAAGAATGGGAACACAGACCCAATTTGTTGGTCTTGTACCAGAAACATGGGTGTGACCAGCCTCCACCATTGTCCAGCCAGGATTAGATCATTTATCTTTGCTCCATATAACAACGGGAGTGATAGCAGTCCCATATCGTTATTCCTAACTGGTGCTGCTGCTTCAAACAAGCACACACCGACATTGATGGATGCTAATATGCTCCTGCAATTTTAATGGAGACAAAAACAGATTTTTAAGCATCAATAAGAACCTGCATGGCATTGCATCTAAGACGAACAAGAGGTGAGTAAGAGTCTTTACACAGCATAGAAGTTCAATGTATCTACTGATTGATCATCATCATCAAGCTGCTGGAAAGGACTATTATTGCTTTCAATACCAGTCTTTCTCAATTTGCTTGCTACTGAACCGCCTTCTGATTTTACCACGTCCAAGGTGGACGAGACTAAACCTTTAGATTTTGCATCTGACGAAAAATAAGTTAGCATTAACAAGAGGAAATAGCCGGAAAGATCAAGCAACGAGAGACCAAATTCAAGAATATCGTAATATTATACCTTTTTGGAGTTTGTCAAGATAAACACTCAAAGAATCCAACTCCTTATCCGCATTGAGTTCAGCTTTCCGATCAATATCATCTCCGGTTAAGATAGAAGGCTTCTCATCGTCGTTTCGAAGTTTCCCAAAGTAAGAATCCAACAGTTTAAGTCTCCTTTTGGTAATCTTGTTCTCTGATGACGCCCTAACCAAGCATAACCTTCCTCTCGGTGAACGACAAAACGGTATTGAATTTATACGATCCTTCATCCTACAATCCCTGCCTAGCGTGGTTGCTTCAGCCATTGTTCTATGTATCAGACCATTACTGCTACCACCAGACGAAAAACGTCTTAAACCATTTGAATCAAACAATACTTCTCCTTTACAGGGGACTTCATGGTGAAGAGGAAACAGTGCCATCTTCAGGTCCTGTACATTTCAAGCATCATATCTCTTCATTCACCAAAACCCAAAGAAGACTTAACAAAAACATGTGAATAATTTTGATAAAAACACAAACTTTAGAGATGCACTTAACAAGTTAGGCCTAAGATAATCAAAGAAGCTATTTGGGATTAAACCCATACAGAGATAAGATTCAGGGAAAGCTTAAATTAAGTAATCTCACTGAGGCATTTAATCGAACAACAAAAGGGCATAACTTTTTCAAGAACCTAATAGCGAAACAGGTATAAAAATAAGCTCTTTCAAGTGAGAAATTGTCTCCTCTCTCACCGTTTCCTATTAAGACTTTTCAATTTACGAAGTCGAGAGAGGAGAATCGAAGACGATTAGGAAGAATTAGAATTTGAGAAAGTGATTAGATTTTACCTTTGAACGAAGAACCTGATCCTAATCTTAAAGATTGAAGATTTGTGGTTGCTAGGATTAGGAAGAAATGCGAGTTCGAATAAACGAAGCAGTGTCTTGTGAAAATTACGTTTATTAGGAACACAACCTAAAGCGTATAAAGAAAACAATATTTTATTTAATGGTTCAAATTTCGTCTTTTGGATATTTTCGTTATTTCATTTTTCTGATGAATAACGAAAATGTTTTTCTTTTGAATAGTTTATTTAGAAATCCTACCCAAAAATGACCTTTTTCAATCCAAACAAATTGTAAAATGCGTTTTTATACCTCAACAAATATACAATGCTTTTTTCTACCTCAACGCCAAAATAATTCAAATTTACTATCTAAACTATTAACTTTGAGCGTAAAACTACATTGACCTAAACAAAATTAGTCAATCGTTTGATTTCGCTCACTTAGACAACACATATGGCATAAAAGACTCTTAAGCTCAAAACAAAAATGAACAATATTTCCAACCTCATATTGTATCTATAAAAGCTTCTTTGCTACTTGGTTTAAGATTTTTTTCTAGCCATAATCCAAGCTTTTTGATTCCTACTGGTCTTTAAGCTTTGCTTCACATGTTTGGAAAATCTTGTACGTGTAAATGACTTACTTTCAGCTTTGATTCATCGTTGTGATTCGATTTGTAAACTTCAAATCATGCCCAATTTTGGGAAAGATGAATATAGTTACGATTTTAAGGAAAAAAAAACACATGATTTACTGCGATAGCTAAGTTGAAATCTCTTTTGTATTTATTTTTTTGTTGAGATCTCAACTATATCATGTATTCCAGGAAAACATTTAATCACATCAAGCTAAGTAATCCTAACATCTACATAGTATTCTTTGACATAGTTGGATTCCATTATTTTTGTAGGACAGACTTAAAGTAAATTGTTGTCTAAAGCAAAATTTATTTTTGTCCCATCATTAAACACAAATTCTCTAAGGAGAAAGTGAGAGTGTTAACCACTCAGCCCAGTGGCGGAGCTACTTTGGTGGCAATGGTGTCATTTGACCCCAACAACTTTTGAATTTTAACTTATTTGCTAATAAAAATTAAGAGTAAATTAGAGAATATGATTAAAATTCTTTATATTGACCCCATTAAAATATGTTTAAATTCTTCATTTTCTCATCGTATAATATATTGACCCCATTCAGAGCCGTGCTAACATTAACAGATAGTAGAAGCGAGAAAAACTAGAATGCCCTAATTAATTAAAAAGTTGAGTGTAAATTTTTTTTAAAACAAACTGAGTATATAAAAAAGAGAAACATAAATAATTTTATCTAAGATTTGTCACTAAAATCAACTTGAACCATCGTAAGCCGTGCCTAGAAATAAACCGAACAAATCTCTCATTTTATCCTAATTAATAATTACAGCATTTACAACATTTAATATATATCCTTAATTATACTCCCTCCGTTTCACAAAGAGTGTCATTTTAAGGTTTTAATTTTGTTTCACAAAGAATATCGTTTTATGTTTTCAATGTAGTTTTTAAAATTAATTCTCTTTTTTATCCTTATTATTTGAGCTTATTAATTATAGAGAGAGTATTATCTAGTGTATTAATAAGGGGTAAAAATGACATTTGTTTAGTTTTCTTAATTTGTGTGAAAATGGTAGAATGACACTCTTTGTGAAGCAGAGGAAGTATTTAGAAGCAATTGATGCCCTTAAAACCTTCAAAGTAGATAAAATATTATGCCCTTAATTTGTTTTTAAAAAATGGATGTCATAGGCCAATGTTTCAAATTCTTGCACTATGGCATGGCTCTGACCCCATTAGAAATTGATTCTAGATCCGCCACTGACTCAACCACAATAACTTTCTACAAGATTATGCTCCTAAATTATTTTATAGATACCTGCTATCTAAAGTCTTTGCTTTACGGGCTTTAGTCTTCGATGAGATCTATCTCCTTATATATTATGATGCTGATTGAGCTAGAGATCGTGATGACTATATATCCACAGATGAATACATTGTTTAAATTTGGCAAACAACCAATATCTTGGTGTTCACATAAACATAAGGCCGAAGACACGTTCGTTGTTGGAGGCCGAATACCGTTTGGTGGCAAGCAATCACAACCGCTGAGCTCAAATGACTACTGTTTCTTACAAAGAAGCTCTACATTATTTTTTCTGCTACTTCGACTATATATTGTGATAACATTAGAGCTATTCATCTTTGTGCCAATCCCATTTTCAATTCTCTGATGAAGCTTGACTACATTTTGTTTAAGGCTTCATTTTTGGATTTGGTTAACAAAACCTATTAAAAGTTAATTTACATAATCTTGTTGAATTTTTTTTTTTTTTTTCATTTTCCAATTCTATTTGTCCAATTATCCCACAAACCTCAGTTTTGATATCTTCGTCAACCATCTACCAAATGCCACGTGGACGCTCCATTTCATTTTCTATCCGGATTCGCGGTGGATTCTCGGTTCATTTCAGCATTTGGTTTAATCCAATTAATCGTTAACCGGTTTGTACCGAAACTACTCGAACCAGAAAGATTGGTAGAGAGAAAGCCACGTAAGATTATCTCTAATGGCAAATTAACCAAAAACGATAACTGAAGAAACCAAAGAGAGAGAGAGAGAAACGACGATGAGAGCTCTAACATGGACGGCAATGTCACCGACGTCAATGGTGGTGTCACAAACAGCGACTTCTACGGTTAACTTCCGACGTATCAGCCTCCGGAGAGATCGCGTCTGTGTTAGAGCCACTGCGTCGTCGGGGACGGCGGTTTCAGGTGGAGGAGTAGTAGAGGCGGTAGAATTGGTAGAGATAGGAGAAAGAAGCAAGAAATGGAAGTGGAAAGGAGAATATTCTGTTAATTACTTTGTCAAAGATTCGCCGGAGGAAGTAACTCCGGCGAGTCAAACTGTTCTTTTGGTTCATGGCTTTGGTGCTTCAATTCCTCACTGGCGAAGGTATCAATATTTGGAAGAAGTGTTTAAAATGATGCTTTGATTCATTTGGTTAGGGTTTTTACTTAGTATTAGTGGAAATGTGTGTTCGAATTGTGAACTTATGAGTTTGACTTGTATGATTACTTAAGTATCAAGAACTTGTTGTATGTGGAAGATTTTGTGTATATGCATTGCTTTAATTACAAGAACAAACTAAACTTGTTTTTCAGGAACATAAATGCTCTGTCCAAAAACCATACAGTGTATGCGATTGATCTTCTCGGATTCGGTGCTTCGGATAAACCTCCTGGTTTTAGCTATACCATGGAGTCATGGGCTGAAGTATAACCATTTTTGAAATACTGTGGCAATTTCTGTTTGAAGAAGTGTTTTGGTTTGGTTTGATTTGATTTATTTTGTTGCAGTTGATACTCAACTTCTTAGAGGAAGTGGTTCAGAAACCGACGATTTTGATTGGAAACTCTGTTGGAAGCCTTGCTTGTGTCATTGCTGCTGCTTCAGGTCTTAGCCCTTTCACTACTTGATTTTGTTTCTATGTCGAATGATATGAACTTAAAAGTACAAGAGCTTGCTTGAGCTAAAGGTATCATAAGTATGAATCTTAGGTACTATGTTTCTCATATTTTGAATAAAAAAACAGAATCACAACGAGATCTGGTCAAAGGTCTTGTTCTATTGAACTGTGCTGGTGGTATGAACAACAAAGCGGTGTTTGACGACTGGAGAATCAAGCTGCTGATGCCTTTACTCTTGCTTATCGACTTTTTACTCAAGCAAAGAGGTATTGCTTCTGCACTCTTTAACCGCGTTAAAGACAGGTAATTACCCGTTTTTTTCTTAACTTTGAAAGGATTTAGTCGAGAGCTCTAACGCATTGATGAATATACGAAATGCAGGGAAAATCTCAAGAACATCTTGACAAATGTTTACGGGAACAAGGACAATGTAGATGATACCCTTGTAGAGGTATTGTCCTATTACTCACTCTCAATGACAAAGAACCAATGAAAGTTTTGTTCACTTTTTATGTGAAAATGTTATTTCAGATCATTGCTGGACCAGCAAATTCCGAAGGCGCGCTAGATGCATTTGTTTCAATCTTAACGGGTCCACCTGGACCAAACCCGATTAAGCTGATACCGGAAATAACCAAACCGGTTCTTGTTTTATGGGGAGACCAAGATGGACTAACCCCTCTCGACGGTCCAGTAGGTAAGTACTTCACTTCCCTTCCCTTCCGGATCAGTTACCTAACTTCAACCTCTATGTTCTACAAGGCGTTGGACATTGCCCACAAGATGATCGCCCGGATCTTGTTCATGAGCGTCTCCTTCCATGGCTGGCTCAACTTTCTTCCACCTAGTTCCGATTTGTTTTGCCGTGTACACTTGTTTATAAATGTATAACAAATCTATCTTTCTGGAAAAAGACAGCTTCCAAATGGTATTTGACTCGCTGTAGAGCACATAGATTTTGACACATTCGAAGTCGAAGAGGTTGTAAGTTGGTAAAGGAGTTTGTTTATGGAGTGTTAACTAAACAAAATCTATTAACAGAAGCATAAAATCTAATCAAGTAAGTAATAAACAGAAAATGTCATGTTTTGTAACTGAAATATCAATATATATGAAGTCAAGGTCAGAAACCAATATTTCCTAAGGTAAAAGATAGGGTTTATTTGGTCAAAGCTTAATGCCATTGAGATGAAATATAGATGAGAACGTGATATTGTATATTGGTACGTTCAGTGGCGGAGCTAGAATTTAAATTTACCGGGGTCAAAATATAAAAAATATTTTAATAAAGTGTGGTTGTTTTTTTTCTTCAAATTATATTGCATATAGCTTATGTTTTTTTATTACATTTACAAAAATGAAATTCTGATATTTATAAAAACATTTGGTTTGTCTAAAACATGATAATAAAATTAAAAACAAAGAAACTTATATATAACAATTAGTGGTTATAGTCTATATCATTTTATAATATTAAAAAAGTTATGGTTTAAGGGGTCAAAAGAGTAGTTTTCATATTGGGCACTGGGATCAATTTATAGGAATTTAATCAAATATCTATGTATTTGTTTAAATATGCCATAATATTAGTTT